AAGCCGCGAGGGGCAGGAGGGGCGCCGCGGTCCGAGGCCGGGCTGGGGACGCGGCTCCACAGTGCTGTGAGCGGCCGGGAGGATTTACCGCCGCCGCCGCCGCTGCCGCTGGTGCACCTCCCGCCCGCCCGGGACGCTGCCGCCTCCTTCCCACAATGCACCCTGGCGCCCGGGGGTGCCCTCTCTTCCCTCAGCCTTCCTTCCCCGCCCCCTCCTTTCCGCCGACTTCTCCCCAAGCGGGCACGCGCAAAGAAGCGCGCCGGCCCGGGCGTGGCGAAGTGTAAGCGAGGCCTGGCGCGAGCTGCCGCAGTGCGCCTGCGCACAACCTACCCCGCGAAGAGAGGCCATTGCGCATGCGGGCGTGTCTCCCGGGACTCTAGAGCAGGGAGTCCCCGGCACCTTCGGTAGGTTTGGCGTGCGCGAGATCCCGCAGATCTGGGGCGAACTTGCACATTATATCACCGGTGTATCTCTCCTTGCTTGCTTACGTTGCCACCACTTAGGCCTCTATTGCAGAAATCGCCATAGACTCTGAAGGGCCGCGGAATCGGGAAGACCTTGCTGACTGATTTACACACTCTCCGCAGACCTGCGTGCACAGTTGAACGGAGACGTGTAGGAGATTTCATTTTCCCCAGTTTTGCAGCTACTCTTCGGCCCTGTTAGCTTCTCGGGACGGGCTTCCCCAGCCTCGACCGGAAGGTCGGGCGAAAACTCAGAAAAGCAATTACTCTTCCCTGGTGAGGCTTCTGGAGGATCATTAATAGCGACATGATTCCACTTGCAGCCCTATGGAGATTGGTTCCACTCTCTTCCCCTTAACAGTTGTGGTCTTTTCACTTTCCTATGCTGTTTAAGTGCCAGAATGAGTGACCGCTATCTAGAACAAAGGATTAGTATCAAGTTTTGCGTGAAATTGAACAAGTCTGCAAGTGAGACCCACCACCTTTTGAAAGAAGCTTATGGGAATGAAGTCATGTCAAGGGCCCGAGTTTTCGACTGGCACAAAAGATTTAAAGAAGGGCGGGAAGACGTTCGAGATGACGCCCGAAGTGGTCGTCCAGTCACCCACCGGACGGATGAAAATATCCAGAAGGTCAAGGACTTGGTTTGTTCAAACAGGCGGTTGACTGTGAGGATGATGGCCGAAGAGTTAAATTTAGATAAAGAAACCGTTAGACTCATTTTGAAAGAAAACTTGAATATGAGGAAAGTTTCTGCAAAAGTTGTATCAGGTATTTTGAAGGATGAACCTAAACCTCGGAGATTTGACTTTCAGTCTGATCTTTCAAAGGAAACTAGGAAAAATAGCTCGTGTGTAAGGAAAAAGATAACAAGTTCTGAAACATGGACTCATCTCCAGTGTGAAGCTGGTGGGGAAATACCTCTGCCTGTATCCCATCCCCAAAACCACTACCCTGCCAGCCAGCTTCTGCAGGCTTCATCATCAACAAGCCTTCCCTCCAGGGCAGCTCAGGATTGGTTCACCCCGTGGTGAAAGGAATGTGAGGTAGCTGAGCCTGAGTTAGAAAGCTGCCTCACAGGCACCTTCATTTGCTGCTCATCCATTGTCAGTCTTCACCCGCTCCTTCCCACGTTACCACCCTCCTAGTTACCCTTGCTGGACTCCTGGGCCATCTTCCAATTTTGAGGAACTTTTTTTTGCCTGTTGACTTCTGGTACTTACTTGTTTCTTGATTTCTTTTGCTTGTTAAAGTTTGGATCTCCTTGCTGCCCAAACCTTAGCTTGTTGTGGCTGTCCTGTTCTTGTGTTCTCAACATTCTGCCTCAGGGGATCATACCACTGAAAGGTGGGAACAGGACCTCCCGGAGTCCTTCTGTGCCCATGAAGGCATATTCTGGGAGGACCCCAAAAGAAGGCCTACAGTTCCAGCCTGCTTCACAGGCAGGACCTGAGGTATGGTACAGAAGGCAGTGGCATGCTGACCTAGTGAGCATTGCAAAGGGCGTATCCAGCCCAAATGACTCAGTGGGAACCCCTCAGTACACAGGGGTTGGCCACCTATACTCACCTTCTCACAGACCTGTCTTTTACAGAGGAGCTGGATTTGTTTCATGAGTCCTGTGCTCTGGACCCCCACTCATTTGGGTATCCCCTCTGCTGGAAGAGGAGGATTTGGTCCTACAAAATATAAGCCAGGGGACTCAAACCCAGGCCGCGATGTGTGAGGAGGAAGACGAGGTGATACTCTAGACCTTGAATTGAGGGAGTCTGCTGCTTATGTGCTGATTCCCATACAGCGGCCTGTTTTTAGTAACTAATGCCAACCCTGTCAGGTGGTTTTTGAGCACCTGCAGTTTTTAGAACACTGCTGGGCATTGACCGTGTGAAGGTATAAAACAAGATCACTAAGGGCTGGCTGGGTGGACATCCAGATGAGATGATTCCTGGCTGGATCCATAAAGAAAGGTGAGACAGGAGGCTAGGAAATTAGAGAAAGCTTCCCAAGCAGGTGGAATAGGATGAGGCTTTGAACCTGCATCGGTATGAAAATGATGGCACTGTTGGCTGAAATAGCAAAGTCGGGAGGAAGATAATGGTGTTTGTTGCAGAAGATGAACAGTTTGGGATAATTTGCTTCCTCTTCTCTGCCCTAACTATGCCATTAGTTTATAAATTGCTTTCCCCGAATCTGTGGATAGGTTTATAATAACTCACTTATTTGATGATCTAGTTTTCCCATCAACCCCCCCCAAAAAAAAAGTTCTGCAAGTTTAGACTCCTTTATCTCTTTCTGCCTCTCCGCCAGGATTTATGGAATGGAACTTTTCCCAAGTGGATTCCAAGTAATACCACATAGACTGGAAACATCTCAGAAATGCCTGATGGAGGTGCAGTGGAGGAATGGTTAGAAACAGCATTTCACAGGATTAGCCAATGTCTGTGTTTTACCCAAGGATTTTTACATGTAACAGTCCCTATTATTTAACTAGTAAGTTAATAAACCATATTGGTTGATAGAAGCCCAACACTATTCAACACAGTTATGTTTAGTTCTGTTCTTTCACTGTCTCTATCCCCTTCAAAAATGACAAGTTCCCTACTAATAGCTGTTAGTTTTGAAGTGCTCTGAAACCTAGACCTTATCCCACGAATAAAAGATCTTGTGCAAAAGAACTCGTAAACCAAACAACAGCTTATAGACTTCTACCTACTTTGACTTTTGTAGACATTCCGTTTCAGGACCATTACATCTACATCAGATGAGGCCCTGGTTCCCCACAAGCACTTGTCTCCAGAGACACTGCACTTCTGGAACAAAGCCCCCATAGCTGGCTATTGCAACTTTGTGGCTGAACCTCATATTAATTCTTGCTATGCTCAGTGATAATTCGTGGAAAACTGTATGCTCCTTGGCCAGGGCCAGGATTCTACAACAGTATCTCTAGGCCTTATCTTCAACCTGAGAGAACTTATTTCTGGACTTATTCCTGTCCTGTGAACAGGGCTGGAGTGAGCCTTCCAAAGATGCTGGACTAAGACCATGCTGGAGCATAGGGTACCAGAAGCATTGTTGGCCCAGACAGGGTTTGGACACAGCAACCGGAAGCAGGTAATCAAGAATGTGAATTCAAATTGTTACTAGTAGCTGTAATGAAAAGGACTTAATTTTTTACTTTAGATCATGTGCTGAGTACGAGTTGGGTCGAACTATGGCTCTACCTAAACCAATTGCCCATTTGCAAGGCTTCACAGAAAATATTCAATGAAATGATAATAGACCGGGGCACCTGGGTGGCTCAGTTGGGATCAAGCCCCCGCATCGGGCTCCCTGCTCAGTGGGGAGTCTGCTTGTCCCTCTCCTTCTGCCCCTCCCCCCAGCTCGGGCTCTCTCTCTCTCTCTCTCTCACTTTCTCTCTGTCTCTCCCCAAAAAATAAATAAAATCTTAAAAGAAAAAAAAATGGTAATAGACCCTAAGATGGCTCAGATTTGGGGAAGTAAAATTTCTGCCCTAACACTCATCCCACAGCAAACTATCCATATGTGCTCAGAATCACTAAGCCCCAGGCCAGAGCATGATCTAGGACTATCCCCAGACAGGAGAGTTCTCAAAACAGTACCCCTTATGTGCCCACCCACCAAATCTGTTTTATCGCTGACACAACATTTACCCTGAACTACATCTTGGACTTCCACCTGCCCCACAGGTTTCTTGAGTCTCAAGAATCCACCTATCGTCATGCCCCAGGCTCTTGTCCTTGGCTTTTCTTACACACCTTTGTTTATTCTCTATCAGTTTGCTCTTTCTCCGCTGTTATACTGGTGCTTTGTATTCTGGTTCAGGATCATACCTCCCTCCCTTTTGGTGAGGCTTTTCTATTCAACTTACAACTCTCTAACTTTTGATCCCTTTTCCAGCTCCCCACTTCAGCCCTATAGTCTTGAGTAGGGAAATTGGCCCCAAGTTGCTTTCCTATCCTCAAGAAGCAGGGTGGGACAACGTGAACGGATGTGTTCTTGTTTTTGTTTTATCTAAGAGACATACTGGGAAGAAGAAGAAGCTCCCTCCCACCCTTAGCCACCAGTGGTTCCACTCCCCAGAGGCAACCAGTGTTAAAAGTTTCTTAAGGAGGCAATTTGGTTATCTCTGGTATTCAGGAGTCATGAAAGTTTTTCAGAAATACAACATCCAAATCCCATTCTCAGGGTAAGCTCCACCTAAAGGTAGAAGGTGAAGCCTGGCTCTCTGTAGGACATCAGGAGGAGAAATGGCCATCTGCAAACCTTGACTGTAATTCTCAGGCTCAGCACACAGTCAGTTAATGAATCTCTTTGGCTTTCAGACTGATCTCCCTTTCTATCCCATTCTGGTTCAAAATCCACATGGAATGTTATATTCCACAGCTGGAAGTCCAGGAGAATAGATACCTTCTGGGGAAGATCATCCCATCAGTGATTTTATCTAATTCTTCCTCCACCCATCACTCCTCCCTACCTTATTTCCACCTGCCCCACGGTAATGAGCAAAAACAGAGAGAATAAAATATTCACCAATGTTTGATTTCAAAAAACATGGATAGTTCTTCAGTCTTCTGAATTCTGCCCCTGGCTCTGAATCCTCATTGAAATGTTGTTTGGGAAGAATGTGTACCTAGGACCTGCTTTCCAGAGCCTTCCTTTCAGATCCATTTCTTAGAGTTCAGATTTGCCAGTGGAGATGCCTGGATCAATCTGGGTACCAACTGACTTGAGGACATCTAGTAAAGGAGGGGGCTACTATTGGGGAACTCTCTGTTTCTGCATCACATACACTGCTCAGCCAGCCTGCTATTTGCAGAACACCTTGTCAGCAAGGCTCACTAGGCTTCTCGGGATTGGGTCTCACCAGGGTCCCATGTGGCTCAATTTGCTGCTGGAACTGTATGTGCAACCCTGCGTTCTCCAACTGCTGCTTGGTTGGATCAGGCCCCTCAGATTTTACCGGCCTTTACACTATCCAAGGCAACCTTCATGTATTTATCTTCTCTAGTGTCTGCCTTTTCAGATCCTTGCAAATACTGTCCCAGTTGCATCACCCTTCTCCCAGTATTAATATCTAGAAATAAAAAATCTGTAGTGGGAAACTTCAATACCTCCAAGGACCCTTGGATCTAGTGAAGGGGTCAACAAATTTTTTCTATAAGGGAAATGTCTTAGGATTTGTGGGCCATACAGTCTATGTAGTAACTGCTCAGCATTTTATTGCAAAAGCAGACCGAGCTAATACAGAAACAGATGAACATGGCTGTGTCCTAATAAAACTTTTATCTATGGATACTAGAATTTGAATTTCATATAATTTTCACATGTTACAAAATACTATTTTGATTTTGTTCAACTGTTTAAAAATGTAAAAAAGCCATTCTTAGACTTCTTAGTTTATACACCAGAGAAAAACGGATGGTGGGCCAGGTTTGGCCCATGGACCATAGTTTGCCTACCCCTGGTCTAAGGTATATGAAGTGTGTATGTAAGATGACAGATGATTGATCCTTTTCCATCAATAACGTTGTTAATGCCGTATTGATCCAGCAGTGTCTGATAGTTTATTAATACAGAAATTGTGGACTATTGGAGGGAATCTTTACAGTGCCAGGAGAGTGAACTAGAACTGAATGAGTGACTAGTTCATCTCGACCATATTGACTAAAAATAATATTACACAAACTACTACTTATATCATGCCCTTATAATATCTCAGAAACAGTTTGGGCAATACTGCAAATAGTTCAAAGTTGCAGCCAGTGGGGTAACAGAATGAACTGAAGGTGGGTCCAAAGTTTCCATGACTACGAGCAGCACTTGAATGAGTTTACGTTTTTACCTGTGGAAATAACTACTATGGAGGTGACAACCCTCCCTGAATCATACACTTCTTTGCATGCTGGTGCCCAGGGTGTACCCTTTCACATGTGTTTACTTGTTCTTCCCCTCAAGAGAGCCGTATCGTGTCACCTTCAGTTAAACTGATTTTCTGAAATTGAAATAGAATCTCAGGATTGGACAGATGTTTACGAGGGTATTTCTAATCCAGCCAGTCAAGTTTCCCTTGAATCCAGAAGTGACTAACTCCTACAGCTGCTGAAAAAAAAAATGCATCTGAAAGACGAGTCTGTGTTAATTGAATACATTTCTTTCGAGCGACTGTATGTTCTAGGCACTGTCCTGTGTGCTGGGGTGCAGCAGTGGACGAAACCGACACAGGCCTTCCATCTGACAGTCTGAAATCTAATTATATTACTCTTCACTTTGGTAGAACTCCTCTTCCATGTGCTCACACTAACTCATTGTTATTTGCATACCCGGCAATAGGTATGACCTCTGCCATTGGCCTCTGTGCTGTGGTCATAAAGCCTCTCCAACTGCATGAATAACTTGAGGACCGTGTGTTCCACTTAAATTTCACTATCCTTTAGACAGATCTGTATTGGTAGAAAAACACTCTGGCAATGTTGAAAGTGTAAACTGGCAACTGCTTTCCGAAAAGCAATTTGGCAGTATCTATCAGGAGCTTTAAAAATGTTTATATCTTCTGATCCTCTAATTCCGCTTCTGGGACTCTGTCCTAAAGAAATAGTCTAAAATGTGGGCAGAATTTATACTTAACAATCCAGAAGTCCAACAGTAGAAAGTTGGTTAAATAAATTACCGTGTGACCGTACAATAGACTTATTATACAGTCATTATAATTAATGTTTATGAACTGTTAAAACAGCATGGCAAAATGCTTATAATGTTAAGTGAAAAGACTGGTACACAAAATAATATATATAAATCCAAAAATGTTTTTTTAAATGACTGGAACGGGTGTGCTAAGTCTGGGTGGTTCGGTTATAAGTGTTTTCTTAATTTCTCTGTTTCTTCTCTTTTAAAAATTTCTCCAAAATGTTACTACTTTTATCATCGGAATAAAACAGTAGCACCAAAAGGTGGCAATGGAGACAGGCCAAACCGCTCATTTGGTCCGTGAACAATTAACTGGCTGGTGGACATGGAGGCTGTGTGATACTGGGTTGGTAGCAAGAGTGTGGGACAGAAGGGAAAAGGGCCTGCCACAGAGGAGAAGGCAAGGGACCAGAATCCCTACAAAGAAAGCCAAAGTGATATGAGAAGTTGCAGTGAGCAGCATGCTCCTGTTATGTAATCCTAGGTAAATAAAAGAGCACGTATGGATCAAGTATATTCTGACAATGGGAAAGAATATGGAAATACTCTCCCAAGCAAAATTAATCTCATTCTTGCATTCTTTCATACCAAGTGAGTATTCTCAAGATGGATTTTATTACAGCTGATTCTCTGAAGAATCCTTGAGCCTTCCATGTAATTTTGTTAGGATCGGAGGGGCTTGTGATGTGCCAAGCCTACCTCCTCCCATACTGGAACACTCAAGCAACATGGATGTACATGGGAATATTTGGTATCCCACACTGAGAATTCTGCAACATATCATTAGTCATCTTAATATTGTAACTTACAAAACTAAAGTTTGCAAATGTTATTTTGATGGAATCCGGAATTGCTGTGCTTTTTGTTTATGTCTGAAGAGTAATCATGTTACGGGATTTTAAAGTGAGAAATGGTGTAGATAATGCCTATCCATAGATGAAATGGTTGTTATCTTGGGAAAATATGTCATTTGTTGTTGCTTTAGCAAAATGTTTATCATTAAAATGCCAAATATACCTCTTTGGTAAAATTTCAAACTTCCAAATGAATATGTACATCTTTTATAGGCGTACATAGATTTGTCAAGCTGATTGGTCTGTAGGAAGAACAGGTGTTAGTACTGGCTCCTTAACAAATCATGTGCCTTGGGGCAGTCCACTTTGCACCCTTGGGGCACTCCAGTTTACTCATCTGTAAAAGGAGAATAGTAACACTTACCTCGTTTTGCTGGTTCAGCAAATATTTATTGACTGCTTCTGTGTATCTGACACTGTTCTAAACACTGAAGATAGAGCAATAAATGAGACAAGAGAGTGTTCCTCCTCCTGAGCATACATTTAAGTGGAGGAGACAGGCAAGAGCAAGAATATAGCATGTTAGATAGTGATTATTAGATATGAGGCTTACTTTAAATAACGTCAGTGGCACCCAGCACAAGACCTGGCATGCAGTAAAGGACTCAATAGATAGCTATTTCCTTTGCTTCTTTAGTCTTCCCAACAGCTGTTGAATTACTCTACAAAATGGCAATAATCGGCAAAAAGCCTGACCCATTGCCTTCTGGCTCTTGCCAGTTAATAAAGCCTAAACCTGTTTTTGCTTAAGAAGACAAATTACAGTTGTGTTTTGTCCTTCCTGTATGGCAGATTTATCAAGGTGGCGCCTAAACACTGTTGATAGATGGCCTTTTCTGAAGCCAGTTGGCAGGGGTCTCAGCCTGGGGCTAGATGGCAGGTGTTAGGTCCACAAAGACAAACGCATGGTGTCATTGCTGTTTAAGCAGAACAGATGCAGAGACTGTAATGGCTTTTTCTGTTCAAGATGTGTGCCCATGTCCTATTCCCAATGCTGGTGAACTGGGCAAAGCTTGCATTATTTGTGGGAGGCCAGGGCATTGACAGCCAGGAAAAGGAGGGTTTAATGCTTGTGGTATGTTTATCTTACTGCCCCGTATGGAAATTTTGGAAGGTTTAGGAATGCTAGAAAACAGCAGCCAAAAGTTCACCCCTAGGGTTCAGGTATTTCACCAGACCCATTTCTCTGTCTCATCTTCCTCCGGGAACATCCAGTGAGCATTCATTTAGTGAATTCCTTCAGGTCTGGGCCTGCGTGAGGCACAGGGGGTTGGGCCCTTTCCCTCAGGCTGCCCAGCCTCGTGGCATGGGGAAGGGGCCAGAGGTGGAGAGACCACTGAGAATGAGCTCCCACCTTAGACTGTCCATCTTTCCTGGAGGACAGCTGTAAGGAACAAGCTTTTATAAAGAATTTGGGACAGAAAGTTAGAATGATCACACATAGGGTGATGGTGGGAATGAGAAAACACACAGAACAATGGTTAACTGGCCTGCTGGCTATACCATCCCCAGGATTCGGTGTGAAGTTGTACCTCTCAGAGGAAACTGGATGTCGGGCTGTGGGCCAGTCCCCCTGTACCTTGCCTTAAGAACCAAATAAGTAAAAATTCAGAATTACAACTCAGCTTAGATGAGGAAATTGGCCCAGGGAGGTTGAGTCACTTTTCTTGAATCACACATCTAGCTGGTGGCTGAGCCAGGATAATAATGAAGGACCTTGAATTTCACTCAGCCAAGTGAGTTTTCTTCCATTACTCCACTGGTAATAATTGCCTTTACTAATGTGTACATTGTTAAGATGTCTTTAAAATAGCAGTCAACCTCACATTTGATATGATTTACCAACAGTTGATTTACATACAATTTTTAGGGAACATATTTATAGCATCAAAGTAGGACAGAGGTTTTTCCAAGTTTCCTTGGGGTGTCCAGGCCCTCTGGTCCTTCCAGAGGTGTGTATTCATAAGTAAATGCTGGTATTCTGTCATTCATTTTTTCCAGATGTCCTTCCCAAGTAGTGTGTTAGGCTTTATGTTTTTAATATTTCTCATATATATTTTTAAAATCTGGGCACATAAATCCTAATAAAGTTCTTAACTATCTCCTCCATGCTATCTCAAATTTCAGGGTGTGTTTATATTTATGACACAGGGTCTAAAGGCGTAAATGCTATCACATCATTAGGGTTTATATTCCTAAACCATAGACTTGTGTTTCTAGATGTTCTGAAAATTCTTTACACTTCACTTGTAAATGCCACTATATACTGTGCCATGACATTTCCATAGTAACACATATTTCAAACAGGAAAACAGGAAGCCCAAGGAAAAGGGAAGTAGGCTTCAAATGAAAAAAAAAAATCATTAAAAATAGAATACATATGATGGGGAAGAAGGGTGTAAATTCTGGTTTGATGTGCCCTGAGAACAGAGTGTTCTGCAGACCCACCTTAGGGACATGCAATGTCCACCACCCACCAAGTGGCCTAATTGTGGCATCACACTTTTAGACCCTCACATTCAGTGAGGTCCATGTCATTACCCTAACATTTCTTAGTATCACCTACTGTGACCAGATTGAGGTGGTTACACACCTGTCACCTCACTGTCCTGAAGCCCATTGTCCACACTGCTGCACATGTGCTGTATGGTTTAGAGTTTATTGAAAACCGGTGGCTTTTGGACCCCAGTTTTTTGAGCTTCCGCAAGTCACGCCCTCTGCCTGGACTCCCTTGCTGCTGCCATCCACCCAGCAAACTCCTACTTAGCACTCGAGCCTTAACCTTACCATTGCTGTTCTCTGCAGTGGTAAAGCAGCCACCCCCAGCGTACATACACACTCTTATGTCAAAGAAACGTTAACACTTAATTGAACTTAATTGTTTGCAGAATGTTTTTCCTCCCTTACCAGCCCATGACCTCCTCAAAAGCCAAGACCACATCTGAATGTTCTCTGTATTCCCTGCATCCAGAATAAAGCTTGTCTGGAATTGTTCAATAAATGTTTGATAGATGAATAAAAGAATAGACTTTTATGGGAATTGCTTTTTTTTATTGTGGCAAAGTTCATACAACAAAATTCACCATTTTAACCGTTTTAAAGTGCACATTTCAGTGACATTTAGTATATTCACAGTGTTGTACAATCACTACCACTATCTAGTTCCAGAACATTTTCACCACTCCAAAAGGAAATCTTGTATCCATTAAGCAGACACTCCCCATTCACCCACTACCCCAAGCCCCTGGCAACCAACCACTAATCAACTTCCTGTCTCTGTGGATTTGCTTAGTCTGAAATTTTCATATAAATGTAATCATGCAATATGTGGCCTTTCGTGTCTGGCTTCTTTCATTTAGCATAATGTTTTCAAGACTCATCCATGCTGTAGCATGTATCAGTATTTCATACATTTTTATGGCTGAAGAATATTCTATTGCATTGATATACCACATTTTCTTTATCCATTCATCCACTGATACACATTTGTGTTTCTCCCTTTTGACTGTTATGAATAGTGGTGCTATGAATGTGTGTATGTACAGATTTTTGTTTGAACACCTATTTTTAATTCTGGGTACATATGTAGAATGGAAATGTTTGGTTATGTGGTAAGTCTATGTTTAACTTATTGAGGAACCGCCAGACTGTTGTCCATAGCAGTCACCCATTTTACATTCTCAGCAGCAGTGTAAGAACTGAGGGTTCCAATTTCCCCATGTTTTCGTCAACAATTATTATTTTCCCTATATATGTAGAGAGATATATGTCTATATATCTCCATCCTAGTAAATATGAAGTGGAATCTCATTGTGGTTTTGATTTGCATTTCCCTAATAACTAATGATGTCAAGCATTTTGGTGAGCTTTCTGGCCATGTGTGTATCTCTGGAGAAATGTCTATTAGATAAGCTTTTTATTTGAGTTGTCTTTTTGTTGTTGAGTTGAAAGAGTTCTTTATATATTCTGGTTACTAGACCGTTATCTGATATATGATTTATAAATATCTTCTGCCATTCTATGGATTGTCTTTTCACTTTCTTGATAGTGTCCTTTGGTAGAGAAGAGTTTTAATTTTGAGGAAGTCCAGTTTATTTATTTATATGTTTTTTTGGTTGCTTTGTGCTAAGAAACCATTGCCAAATCCAGAATCATGAAGATTTATCCCTATGTTTTCTCCCAAGAATTTTATAGTTTTAGCTATTATATTTAGGTCTTTGATCCATTTTGAGTTTGTTTTTGTATATGGCGTGAAATAAGTGTCCAACTTCATTCTTTTACATGTTAATCTCCAGTTAGTTATTCCTGCACCATTTATTGAAAAGACTCTTCTGTTCCCATTGTCACATCTGTTATTGAAAGATACTTTCAAATTATAAGTTGACAGTTTTTTTCTGTACCTTGAAGGTTTTGCTCCAGTGTCTTCTGGCTTACATTATTTCTGTTGTAATTCTTATCTTTGTTCCTCTATATGTACTGTTTCCTCTTGCTGCTCTTTTTTTTTTTTTTTTAAAGATTTTATTTACTTATTTGGGAGAGAGAATGAGAGACAGAGAGCACGAGAGGGAAGAGGGTCAAAGGGAGAAGCAGACCCCCCCGCTGAGCAGGGAGCCTGATGTGGGACTCGATCCTGGGACTCCAGGATCATGACCTGAGCCGAAGGCAGTCGCTTAACCAACTGAGCCACCCAGGCGCCCTCCTCTTGCTGCTCTTAAGACCTCTTCTGTATTACTGACTTCAGCAATTTGATTTTATATGCACTGGTATAGTATTTTTCGTGTTTCTTATGCTTGGGGTTCATTGAGCTTCTTAGATTTCTTCTCACCAAATTTGGAAAATTATGGACATTATTTCTTCAAACATTTTCTCTGCCCCTCCCTCCTTTAGGGGTTCTGATTACATATATAGTAGGCCACTTGAAGTTGTCCCACAGCTCACTGATACTCTGTTCAATTTTTTCCTCTTTTAGCTTCTATTGCCGTGTCCCCAAATTTATTAATGCTTTCTTCTGAAATGTCTACTCTATTTTAATCTTATTTTGTGGATTCTTCATCTCAAATACAGTGGTTTCCATCTCAAGAAATTTGACTTGGGTATTTTGAATATATTTTTTATTTTGGAATAATTTTAGATTTACAGAAAATTTGCAAAGATGGTACGGGGTGTTCCAAATGCCCCTCATC